GGGTCTTGAAGTCAATTCACATTGCAAATGGAACTACCAAAGATTTGGGCACAAATTTCCACGAGGGATGCGGTAAATTTTTCCCGTTGCCGGGTGACAGGGGTTGGTCTGACCAGTCACTCTCCAGCCCTAACAACGAGTAGCCAGGATAAGGCGTTGCGCTTTAGCGAATTGCGCAATACACCGAACCCAGGCGAGAGGACATACAGAAGTGTACCAGAAAGTGGGGCACAAGCCCAGCAGAAGGCACAATAAGGCATGTTGTGCTGCATTGTGTTTACCTCATGTATGGGCAGAAGATCGTGTGGGAGGACCAACTGAGACTGGTTCACTTCGTGTCTGCATGTTTTTCTGTACATTTGCGCATATACATGCACATATATACATGTGTATGTGTGCAGGCGAAAGGTGGAGAGAAAAAGGAGTAAAGCACAGCTTGAGAATGGCCCATCCACCTCCGGGTGTGTGTGGCGTAGGGAAATGTCGATGTTTACGGGACGAAGTTGACTGGTATACAACCGTACACATGAGGATAAGCACATACGCAGTCGCCATGGCGTGTGTCCTCGATGTCGTAGAGGCGCTGGCACATCAGAGATGCGGCAGACCCGGCAGTGGAGGGAGAAGAGGTGCAGGGCACAAAAGCATGCATTTGCAGAAGTGCACTTGGACATACACACACACACACACTTGTCGCGGCACAAACGTGTAGGGCCTGGGCCAAGGGGCTTCAGGAGGGCACTCGTCAACTCCGCACATGCGAAAAATGCCCACTTTCTGTTCTCCTCTTCTGTACATGTATACTCATCTGGGGCACATTTAGGCCTACATGAGAGCCGTCACCACTTCCCCCCCCTCCCCCCTCCTTTCCAATGGGCGAGGGTACCAATTGTGGGTTTCACTGCCCCTTGACGCCGTGGAATCGCCCTCTTACTCGCGACAGCCTGCTCCGAGGTGCCCCCTAAAGTGGAAGCCTGACGATTGACTTGCCCTTCAGGCAATGCCAGATCTGGGTCCGAGTCCCGCTCGAACGATGGTAGAGTTGCTCTCTTAGACACAATTCAACGTCACCGTCTGCACAATCTTCACGCTATCTCTCAGCATATGTTTCAGGCTCGCTTCATATCGACTAGCACTACATACAGAAGTACTACGATAAAAATGGTGGACAGAACGACCACGACCACGACCATGACCCCCACCACCACCACGACCGCCGATCCACCCGCATTAATGATACTCTTCAACATCATCATTAGCCGCAAAGTCACCCTCAAAGCTGGCCTCGTCCGTAGGCTTTATGCTATCACCGCCGTAGGCATTAGCGTAGAAATTGCCGTCTCAAATTATGCCTGAACCTTTAAGTTTATAAGCCCTGCCCTCTGCGTTGCAACCACCCTCATTCTAATCGGCATCAGCAGTGCTGTCATCACTATCAGCTCCACTTTTTATTGCCGCCTCAGTGACATAGTCGCAATCATTACTACCACTGGCACCCTGACAAATACTATCATTCGAAACACCATTCATCAACAACCGCCTCAGTCACACCGTAAAGTCACTTTTCATACTAAAATTGCATTTAATCGCATAAGATGGTTGGTCTAAGGCAGTCGAGTTGGCCTCATGATGACATTGCATTTCGATACCGGATGCAGACATTAATTTGCCATTGGACTCGATGACATTACTTATTGTCGATGTAAGTAGTCTTCGAAACTATACCTAATATTTGTTCATCTTGGTTGGTTAAGGTGAGTTACGGACTGTTCATCGCAGACAGACTCACCATAACTCCAATAATTAAATCGAAGATATGAAGA